AATTACTATGCACTTAATGCAGACATATTATTAAAATTTGGGCTATAATGGTTGTATTGATGTATATTAACTTGAAATGCTCCAAAAAATGGCGCTACAGCATGTAAAAATATAAGCTCTGGCGGACTTGGTTCTATGGTAGGTCTTAAAGGGTTAAGTACTTAGGTGTTGTGTTTGATTCAAGATTGACATGGAGAGAGCATATTGACCAGATTGAAACCAAATGCAAAAAATGTATTATTCTTATGAGGTGTGTAGCTGGGAGGGGTTGGGGAGCGAGCTCTTGTGCTTTGAAAAGAGTTTACCAGGCATTAATTAGATCGGTCTTCAATCATGGGTGTGTGGCATATGGTTCAGCAGCTCCTTCTGTGTTGAGACATTTGGATGTTCTGCAATCGGAAGCCCTTAGAGTGTGCTGGTGAGCTTTTAAAACTTCTCCAGTCAGTGCCCTACAGGTGAAGATGGCAGAAATGCCCCTAGATCTTAGGAGGAAGCAAGTATCGGTGAATTACTGGGTTCATCTTGGTGGTCATGGTGACGCACATCCCACAAAGGAGCTACTTTTGGAATGCTGGGAGCATGGAAGAACTCAGAATGATCATTTTGAAAAGGTGGGGAAACAGTGGGCTAAGGAGTGTCATGTGTATGAACTTAAAATATGTCCTGCAGTAGTGTTCCCTGTGGTTCCTCCATGGTTATTGAAGACCCCTCCTGTGGACTGGTACTTGCTGGATCTGAAGAGAAAATTGAAAGGAAGAGTAGATCTTGTTTCAGCATTTCATTTTCACAGCTTGAATGAATACCCTGAGTGTATTCATGTGTTCACGGATGGTGCTAAAAGTCCAGATACTGGAAGTACAGGGTTTGGAATAGCAGTTCCGTCAAAAAATATTGGAATAAACAGACGCATTTCGGATGGACTGACAGTGTAGACGGTTGAAATGGTAGCAATTTTGGTAGCACTGAAATGAGTGTTCAAAAATCAGGCAGGTGGTAGTATGTTCTGACTCGGCAGCTGTTCTTTCAGGTCTACAATCATTCTGTTTGAAGACAAGGCAGGGTATGCTGTATACTATTCTGTAGACTAATAAGTAATAAGCAGAATAATAATAATAATAATAAGCAGAATAAGGTGTTGTGGTGGCAATATTTACTTTCTTTGTGTGCCAGCTCATGTAGGAATCAGTGGAAATTAAAAGGTGGATAAGTTGGCAAAAGGAGCGTTGACTAAAAATAGCACTGAGATGGAAATTAAAAGCAGCGGATCTGAAGCAAAGGGTATTGTTTGGAAGCAGGTTGTTAAGGAGTGGCAGAAGGGGTGGGATTCAGGGAGTAAGGGGAGGCAATTGTATGTGTATAGGTTGTTTAGGGGTAATAAGAGAGAAGAGGTGGTCATTAGGCTTAGACTGGGACATTGTGCATTAAATAAAACACTACAGATGATAGGAGTACATGAGACGGGGCTTTGTGGAGTGTGCCAGGAGGAGGAGGAGACCGTAGAGCATGTAATAGTGCGGCGCAAGGGTTATGATGTGGAGAGGAAAGTTCTGCAGAATAGATTGAAGGAGCGGGGAATTGGGGAATTTAATCTGAAGAGTGTGTTGGACGGTAGTAGGGCACAGGTGAGGGAACTGGTGGGGTTTCTGAAGGATATAGGTGTTTATGAAAGAGTGTAGGGTCTTTTTTTGTATTGATTTTTGGATTCAGATTGTAAGCTCACTGTCTGACCCATACTCCGGAACAGTAGGAGGCGGTAATGCTCCTTTACGTTGGTTGCCAACCGCCGTTAAACACACAGAAGAAGAAGAAAGGAGGCGGAGGAGTCGAGCAGAGAGAGTTGCTTTTTCAGGAAACGGGAGTAAAGTAGTAAACTTACAGGAACATATACCACTACCAACGTTGGGATTAATATCTGCATCGATCTGCCCACCCTTGTCTCCTGGATCGTAGCTCAGATCAGCGTGAACCACGTGGGTCTCTGCTCCCTGATCTGTTTCCTGTGTTTGGAAAAACTTCCAGCTTCATCACGAAGTTTTTCTCGGTTTGTGGGCTCGTCTAAAGGTAAGCACCGAGCTAACTTTAATGTGGATTCAGTTTATGTTGAGTTTAGCTCTGTTGGGAATAATAGATTGCTTGGTATACACTGGAGTTAGGCAGACTGTAGAGTTTGT